ATTTATATTTTCTGAATATATTTTGGCTATTATTTAATTATATTGTCTCTTCCTCTTCGATTTCATCAGCATTAGTCATATTATGGAGATCTCGAAGCTGTTGCAAAATTGTTAATAACTCATCCTTTTTTTTTGATATTAATCCTCTAAATTGTGGCCGTTTAGCTTCATTTAAGGATTCAATTAATGTTTCGATTGTGAATATTATCTCTTCCTTTTTCAAGGAAGTTTTAGCTAATTGTAATTGTACTTTATCAAAAGTAACGGGAATAGGCCATATAAGCTCTGATGAATTAATTATCGGTAAATCAAATTTATTTTTAATATAACTTATACGTTGCATTTGAGCTTTATGACTGAATGACCTCATTTGTACACTTAATTTATTAGTCTTATCCAAACTTTCAAAGCTACAATCATCTTTATTTGGATTTAGAAATTTAGTTTTTCTTAATTGAATTCGAAACCTCTGTGATTCTATTTCATAGTCTGGACGAGTTTGTGATCCTGAACTTTCAGAATCTGAATATTCCATCGTAGCAAACAATTTTTTTCGCAGCTATCAAAAAAAAATTATTAGAAAAAAAAAGTAAGTATACATTAATAACAATAATATATACTTTTACTTTCATAAATTATGTGCAATTTCTTGCAGCCATATCCCAGTGCTTTTGAGTAGGTATAGGTGGAATCAGTGTTTTTAATGTTTTATTTATTTCTTCAAGTATCGCATCTAATCCCTGGTGCTGATTTGGCTATCCTGATCATGATACAACAAAATTTTGTTCGATAATTTGACGAATCTCTGGACGAAGGCGCATTAATTGTTCCTCATCAGCTATTTCAATTGCTTGGTAAATGGGATGTCGTCTTGCAGACCAAATAGGGGAAAACATTCTATGTGCAGCTAATTTAAGTAAATGCTGGTTGTTTCTAACACCCGTACGAAAGTTTATTATTGCTTGTAAGTACCAAAAAATCTAAATATAGTTTAAATATTAATAATTTG